ACCCAAATTCTTTTGGGTCCATATTCATTAGTTTCCAAAATCCTAGTCCCCTTAGGTATCCATTTGTGTAGGATATTTTTATCTTTAGTAGTAATGAGTTCTTTAGGAACCCACATACTTCTAATGATTTTTCCATTAGAGGTTCTTTGGGGACCTCTATGATTGTAGTTTCTAAAACTTTTTCTAACAAAGTTGGATTTTGAATTTCCACCTTTTTCAAAATGTTTTGTTCCAACTTTATCAAAAGAAGTTTTAAGATCATCAATTTTCTTTTGATGATCATCATTGATCTTTGAAAGTAAATTTTGCAAATCTAAATTTTTCTTTTCAAACTCTTCTAGTTTGATTTGCAAATCTTTGATTTTACTTTCAAGATCGTTGTTGGTTTTGGATATGAGTTTGTTTTCATTTTTCAATTTTGAAACATCATTTTTATATTTTAAAAACAATTTCTCATAATCCGAAGCCAACCCATTGTACTCCTCAAATAACTCATCATAAGATAAATCATCAAAATCGGATGAGTTAGAGGTTACCTTAGAATCTTCCCCGAATGCCATCAAGCACAAGTTTGCTACTTCTTGTTCCTCTTCATCGGAACCTTCTTCATCGCTCCATGTAGCCACATGAGCCTTGTGCTTATTCTTTGATTGACCCTTTTTGTTCAATTGTGGCCAATCATATTTGACATGCCCCGGCTTTTTGCATTCATAGCAAATGATTGGGTCCTTCTCTTTTGGTTCATTTTTGAGGCCTTCGTTTCGTTTGAATTTTCTTCCTTGGTAAGGTCTCATCATTTTTCTGAACCGTTTGGCAAACAATGCCATTTCCTCGTCATCATCATCATTATTAGAATCACTCTCATCTTTTGTGGATTTGAGAGCAACTCCAATATTTTTCTTCTTCTCCTTTTCCTTTGGTGTCTCTTCAACTTTATCAAGGTCCACCTCATCTTCGAGCATCATCTCATGAGTGAGGAGTGAACCGATAAGTTCTTCAAGAGTTAAGGACGATAGGTCCTTAGACTCGATGATTGCCGTCTTCTTTGATTGCCATGATTTTGGGAGGGAGTAGACTAACTTCCTCACAAGCTTTTCATTTGAGATGATCTCTCCATATGATTTGAGACCATTGACAATCGTTGAAAATCTATCCGTCATAGCTTTGATGTCTTCATTTGGTTTCATCCTGAAATTTTCATAGCTATGCGTTAGAATACTAATTTTTGATTTCTTTACCTCATATGTACCTTCATGTGTGACTTGAAGCTTGTCCCATATTTCTTTGGCGGTTGTACACGATGAAACTCTTCCGTATTCATCTGGTCCAAGAGCACAAAAAATAATATGGATGGCTTTGGAGTTGAGCTGGAACATTCTTGTCTCTCCTTCACTCCACAACCTTGGATGAGTGATAGGCTTGATGTATCCTTCTTCTACAACATTCCATGCTCCCATGTCACTTGCTTGAATGAAGTACATCATTCTATTCTTCCAATTGGCGTAATTAGCTCCATTGAAGAAAGGAGGCTTGTTGACGGGCATTGAATCAAGACCGGAGTCGTAATTTGAAGTGGAGGCCATTGATGACTTGGTAATCGATGTAACTCTTCCCGAATCGACTCAAGAGGCGATTAAACCTTCAAATGAGTGAGGCTCTGATACCAATTGTTGAGTTAATCGATCTACGGAATCGGCCAAGAGGGGGGTGAATTGGCAATTAAAAATTTCATGGAAGCTTTTGCAGAAAATTTAAAGAAATTGCACAGCGATTTACAATGGTTCGACTTTCTCAAACAAAGTCTACGTCCACTACCTTAGCTATCCACACTAAGGATTTTCCAACAAATTCACTAATTTGTTCTTTCTTTTGAGGCCAAAGAGATAACCTTACAAAATCCCTCAAGAGTATACCCCAACTCTTGAGAACACTCTTTTTCCCAAAGAGAAGATTACAAATTTGCAAACTTACAAGAAAACCTCACAAGGTAAGATGTTTGCACAATTCTAGAACAAAGAAAAGAACACTCAAGGATAAATACAATTGAGTACAAAAGTGTTCTTGAAAGCAAATGAATATTGGATGAAAAATAGGCTTGAAATACTCAAACTTGAGGTTTGATGCTTTCTCTTTGATTCTCTCTTGATTCTAGTTGATTGATGTTTCTTGTTTTTGATCAATGGCTTCAGAACTTGTTTAAACACCCCTTGAATCAATTTGAACGTTGGTGATAATTAGTGGAGTCAATAGAGCCGTTTAAGTGTGAAAACAATTAATTTTTCTAGGTGGAGCGTCTCATGCATCGATGCATGATCAAGGATGCATCGGTGCATTCGTGTAAAATTCAAATATTTTGACCGTTGGAACACTTGATGCATCGGTGCACCAAGTGTGCATCGATGCATGAAATGCATTCGATGTTTGAAAAATATCCTGGTGCATCGATGCATGGCTTGTGCATCGATGCATCAAATGCATTCGATGTTTTGAAAATATTCAGAGTGCATCGATGCATGGAGTGTGCATCGGTGCATGGAATGCATTCGATGTTCAATTAATTCATCGATGCATCGATGCATGGACTGATGCATCGGTGCATGCCTTTGAATAATTGATTTAAGGCTTGTTTTTGGTTCAAAATACTTTGTGAAAATTGTTTCAAAAATAGTTTAAGTACAAATCACAATTTTACACATTTAGTAAGGTTTAAAATTGATCTTGAAAAACTTGGAGTAATAATTTGATATTCGGTTAATTGAATCGAAATATAAAATTGTAAAATCATTTGTAAAATCTTAAAATTCATTTAACTTAATTTGTTATATCGAAATATCAAAAATGTTTTAAACATAATTAATATTTTATATTAAACTAGAGGATTCATATTACCTTCCGGCAAGTGGAAAGTCAACCGCAGTCCGATTAATCGGTATAAAAAATAGAAGTATATGCCAAGCCCATGATTGTAGCAGCAACAGACATCCATAGATTTCTGCTGTATTATTATCATTCACGACTAATGACGTCTTGCACATCTCATGATACAAGAACGCCAATATTGCCTACTATTCTCAAAATTTTTTTAAAAAAAAAAAGATACTGAGTGTGAACATAACTACCGGATTTATCAGGCATCAAAATTCCCCCAATCAACTGTAATATATATGCTTGTATTGCATATATAATTTTGTGCTCCGTACTATTTGGTTGAAGCCTGAAATTCATTCTTCAACCATGACAACCTCACACGCCACCCTCTACACTCTGGTGGTACGGGCGCTTTCCCAAGAAACAAGTTGCAAAGTTGTGCCACATTATTAAACTCATGTGACATTACCACTGACATCCCATTAGTTTGGACCCCGAGTTGCAATGCTACATCCTCTAGAGTTATCGTACATTCGCCACACGACAAATGAAACATGTGCATTTCTGGTCTCCAACGTTCAATCAACGCACTGATCAAACCTGGGACCAACTTGTAATCTCGCACAAATGTTACATACCAAAATCCAGCCTCTTGCAAGTTTTCTTCAATATATGGGTGTGGCTTGGGCACTTTATGTAGCCGAAGACGAATGACTCGCCGCTCGTCCTCCTGCAATTAAATAATGCAAAAAATTTATCACAATCATCATAAAATAATATTCAAATATTTATTAATTATAATTCATTAAACAAATATTTTATTCACCATTATTCCCAAATGACTTGAAATATGTTCATTGTCAAGTCTCAGCAGTGGAATTTGGTCAGCCATTGGAATGAATCTGTAAAAAAATTAAACAACAATATTTAAAAAATCATTTAATATAATCTAATGTTAAGTAACTAACTAACAAACTAACTAACTAATTTACAACACAACAAAAAAAATTAATATAATAACTTATAATATAATAAACTTATAAAGTAACAAACTAAACTTTTTAAAATATAACTTAAATGTGAATTTTTCCTTAAACAACTAATAAACTATTCTTTAATATAACTTCAACTAATAAACTATTCTTTAATATAACCTAAACTAATAAACGATTTTTTAATTATAATTTAATACTAAAAACTAATTAACTAAATTTTTTATATAATATAAATTCAACAAATCATATGGCAACTTAACTATTTAACTAACACAAACTAATTACATATTTTTTATATATAACTAACTACTAACAAACTAACTAATTAAGTAAATTTTTACCCTAACCCTAAACTAACAAACTAATACTTTAAAATAATAAACTAATTTAAATTAAATAAAATGAAAACTTACCTCGATGTTTGCTTGCCGGACTCCCTTTCTTCTTCTTCCTCTAATTCCTTTCCTTTCTCTCGACACTCTTCCGCCTTTCTTTCTTATGCTTCCTTAACCCCATATCATACCCCCTATATATTAAAGGGTCGGCTGCCATGCACCAATAATTGAAGAATCACGAGCCGTTGATTCTCGTGGATTGCAGCAATAATTACTGCATGAAGAAACAAATGATGTTGCAATAATGCAGCGAATAAAGGTGCATGCAGCAGCGGGAGCAAACGAACATGCAGTGGGGAGTAGGCGAGCGGAGCAGGCGGAGGACAAGGTCGCCCAACGTGCATGGCGACCTACCATGTCGCCTAGCGTGCATGGCGACCTATAATGTCGCACAGCGTGCATGGCGACCTACCCTCACTCGACTGCCATGGATGCCCTCGCATAGCTCGCTCGGATGGCCTCGGTCCATGGCATGGCGACCTACCCTCACTCGACTGCACTGGATGCCCTCGCATAGCTCGCTCGGATGGCCTCAGTCGGATGCGCTCGAACGTGCATGTCACATGCAAAATCTCTCGTAGCTCATCGGGAAGAAATGACGACCTATTATGTCACCCGGATGGCATGGTGACCTACGGCCAACTGTAGATTTCACCCTATTTGAGCAATTAACCTGAGGAGTGCATTATCTCGTGAATTAATTTATTCGATAACATTATATCCAAAGTTTTGCCCCATAATACTACATGAACAGTTGAGACTGTAACAAAGTATAGTAATTGGCAGCCTCATCTTCAAGCTCCCATAGCCCATCACATAATGCAAAACTATTTCCGCCATTGTGGAAACCTTCATCGAACTCAACGCCAAAAACACTTTGTTTATTCGGAATCCCAAGCTCATCATCAGAAGCTTCGAGCAAATGCCTGATGACTTTCTCCTTATCATCGTACTGGTAAGCCTCGTCTTCTTTCGAGGAAGAAGTCACTGTCGTGTGGTCTTCTATGCTGACCATGCAGTCGCTGTTAGTCATAGCGGCAGGGTTCTTGTGGTCATCGGCTTTTGAGGGCGATTGGTATGGAGGGAAAGAGGCGTCTTTCGAATAGAGCTATTATTGTAAAGAGGTGATAAGAGAAGAAACGTCATGGCTTGGCCCTTCCTCTTCTGTTTCGAGCAAAGATAATACATGATCGTATGATTTATGGCATTTTGTCTCCTCAGCGAGTTCTTCGTTTGAGCTCTGGGTTTCTTCTCTTTGGCGCTTTGAAGGCATCTGCTCTGCCAATACAGCAAAAAGTCGGGAGACAGATGATATTGTGAAGGTAAAAGGAAATGAACGTAAAAGGGAGGATGAGGAGAGAGGGGGAGGGTGGAAAGGGATTATATAGAAAGGAGGCAGAGGAAGGAAATTGGTGTTGCGGTCAAAATCAAACTAAAGAATACTCCCTTTAATAAACCAAATATTATATAACAATACTGACATACGACAGAGATGAAGGATTGCTATTGCTCTGTACCAATTGCTCCTCCTCCATTCTAAACCGTCAGATTGATGTTTTAGAGTTCGCGAGTTTCCTATTAAAGGTTTAAAAAAAATTAAACGTACATGAGAAGAGCTGTGAGTTTAGTACACAGCTTGATATGACATATTAAATAAATGAATAAGGTGAGGCTTTTTTAGGGCGATTTTTCCGATAAATCATCTTTTTTTATGTCAGTACCGTTCAGATTTATTTTTAATCTAACATCTTTGTAGTAAGGCGTACCTCAACAACGCGTTTTACGTTGATTTGGCATCACGTACGGTAAGGTGTGCCCCTGCAACACGCCTTACGCTGATATAGATACATGTTAGCTAAAGCACGGTCCTTGGGGTGTGCTATATGCGTGGGGGTATAGCGCGATACAGGAGCCACACCTTACTGCAATTATGACAAACGTCAGAAAGGCGCCCCCTATAGCGCTCCTTAGCTTTATTACCCACCTACCCCCGCCCGTTTACACCCTATTCCCTCCTTATAAATATCTCCATTCTCAATCACTTTCATCACACCAAATCCTCTCAACTTTTCTCAAATACTCTTATATTCTTTTATAGCACTTTAAGTATATTTTATTATATTTAGTATTTTGTTAGTAATTTATTTAACTATTTAAATATTTAATATTTTATTTAATTAATTTTTTTACAGATATAAAATGGAAGGCGATCTACTTCGGTTGGATGAAAATCATATATCTCGACATTTTGCTGATACGGTAACATTTTAACATTTTAATTTAATTTAAATTATTAGTAATAATTTATTTATTTATTTAATGCATGATTATTAGTTTATAAATTAATTTTTGTAATTATTTATATTTTAGGAGAGCGACCGTATATTATATCCTTTTATTAGAAACCTTAAGTTAGCGATACCTACCCGTCTGGCCGTATTTAGTAGAGGCTGGATTCGATCACATAGGTAGATATAAAGATCATTGTAAGATAGAACCATACCTTATTTCTACCTTAGTGGAGCGGTGGAGGCCGGAGACCCACACATTTCATCTTCCGTGCGGATAGTGCACGATTACGCTTGAGGATGTTTCTATGCACTTGGGGCTTTCGGTGGATGGAGATGTGATATCAGAGATGACGCACGATAACTGGACTACTTTGTGCCGGGATTATCTAGGATGTGTCCCTCAAAATTTTAATGGTGGTCAAATACCGTTAAATTGGTTAGATGTCAATTTTCGGGAGTTGAGCGAGGACATCTCTGATGATGAAGTTAAAATGTATGCACGGGCATGTATATTGCAGCTGATAGGAGGGTTGTTGATGCCAGACAAATCACGCAACCAAGTTCACTGTATGTGGTTATGACATCTTGGCGACTTTCATATGGCCGGATAACTGAGTTGGGTCTCGGCAGTTTTGGCTTTCCTGTATAGGGAGATGTGTCGGGCGACTGATTACAGGAAAAATACTATCGGTAGATGTCTCCTTCTGCTGCAGTCTTGGGCATGGTATCGATTGCCCTTTTTATGTCCCGTTGTGAAGAACCCGTTCGTATTTTCCCTACTATTGAGGTAATTATAAAACTAATTCCGTATATTAATAATTTTATACATTGTATAATAAATCAAATTTTCTTGAATATGTGGTCTACTGGCAGGAAAAATCATCAGGAGTTACCTGATGATTTAGAAAAAATGAGGGTGTTAATCGATAAGAATACTGGCATACATGTATGCATTTTAATGTTTAAAAATTGATTTTGTATTATAGTTATATAATTAGATTATTATTTTTATAAAAACTATATATATTTGTTTTAGTTTGAATGAGTTCCATATTCTCATGATGATGTGAAGATGTGCATCCCACCTGAGTTGTGGGGACCATCAGATGTTTGGATGGCGGTGGTCTCCTTGATCTGTTATGCGATCGTTGAGTGGCACTCCACTGATCGCGTGCTTCGACAATTTGGTTTTGTACAACCAATTCCGGAAGCACCTCGCAATATGGACGAGTGTTGTGGGAGGATCGACATCGATGTCTTCCCCGTAGAGAGTCTTTTTATGATAACCTCTTCACGGGTGCATCTGGTTATTATGAGTGGTTCAACAGTAACGGGAAATCGTTTATGCTTTCCGATGATGCACGAGGGTGGAGCTTTCAGTGACGTCGACAGAGACGTATACTGTCACAACCTCATCGTCTCCCGACTCGTAGACGGAGAGCAGGTGCTTTCAGTTTGTCCTCAGTTGCACCAGCAGGACATTCACAGCAGTCGCCGACTGCAGCGACCTACACCCGTAGCCATATCTGATGCTATCTCTGCCTTTCCCTTACCAGATATCGCCGCTGCCACCGTCTCCTAGTTTTATGACCCCCCACCATAACAGAGTTATATGACCTCTCATGGAAGATATTATGTGTCTATGTTTGTAGATCTGACTTGGGGTTCATATGCTGGTTATTTAACGGGTGCAACCTCATTATCGATGGCCGCAGAACATACACCTCTTGTACAATTTTCTCACTCATCGATGTATGGGTTTTATGATTTTTCCCAGTTTTCGCAGGACGGTGGGATATTTAGTCATACACCTCTATGGTCCTTATTCTATGGATGTGTTACATCGTCATCAGTTCCTCATCAACAAAATGTATTTGCTCATGACGACGATGGCAATGAGGATGATGATGGTGATGATGATGACACTGAAGAGTCATAACCAGTTATACACATAAATCCTCCTTGAGACAGACAACCACCGTCATGCGGAACACATTCGCACTGCAAACATCGATAGATTTTGATATTTTATTATATTTGTATTTAGTTGTTTATTGGAGTATTTGTATTGTATTTTTTATAATTTATCATTTAATACTTACTTTATTTTGTTAATTTGAATGAATTTTTTAATTTATTTTGTTAATATTGTTGGACTTTTTGTTAATATATTTGGTTAATTTTGTTTATTACCATTTAATATCAGTTATTGTAATTTGGTTATTATTTACCATTTAATACTTATTGTAAGTTTGTTATATTTAAAATTATATTCAAATACCAAATTGCTATTAGTTTGATAATATTTAATAATTGTGTTCGATAACTTTCTTAAGTTTGTCACTTATTATCTATTTTATTGTAATCACATATAACACAAACGTCCAATATCATTTTCTTGTATCATTTTTTTAATCTTCATCAGCCGTTATCGAATGACATTAACTTTAAATAAATGCAAATTAAAGTACAAGAATTATTATTTGATAAACAACTATATCAGTTCCTCATCAATTGTTACTTGATGACAACATAACATATTGTCCTAGTGTGTACTGAGTTTCTACAATGCCCACATTTTTTGTCATGTCTATATGTTTCTCGAATATCCATATCACAATGAATTGGAGTGGATTTTGGACGACCACGCTCCCTCAATAAACTTGGATCTGGTACAATCAGAAGCCAATTCTGAACCTCATATGGGTCTTTGTCATTACCTATGGGGGAACTCAAATTTGTATACCTTAAAAACTTCTGATAGTAGGTATACGGGATACACAAAACGATTATAGTCTTGTCGGGTATGCGAGCAAGCTGCTATCACATTAGAGCATGGATACTTGAAGCTTGAAAAAACCCACAGTCACACCATCTATCCCGTAGATTTACTCTTAACGACACAGCTTCAATCCCTTGAAGAGGTCACGATAACTCTGTGACATGAGACAATGTATGTGTTATAGAGAAGCTTGTTACAGACATTCCAATTGATGTATCAATTTTTTTTGTAGATCTGCAACTAATCTAGGGTGATAAACATGACTGTCTTGCATCCAGGTTTGAGCTTGTCCCCCGAGCTTCACAAAAAGTGCCCCCAAACGAAAATATATAGTTTTTACCAAAGCCGCTACAGGTAAGTGACGTGTACCCTTTAAGGTCGAATTGATTGCCTTAGCCAAGTTGGTCGTCATGTGTCCATATCGATATCCACCATCATATGCGTTTGTCCACATTTCTTTATCGATGAGGCTGATGTAATCGTATCCTTCCTCGTTCTTCGCCCGCAAATCTTGAAGTATGAATTCAAATGTTTGAGGAAGTAGTTCATAACTTGATCAAAAAATGTATAACTTACTAACTTTGTTTCTTTACAAAATGAAAATGGCTGAAAGAAAATAAACTATATCAGTTTCACTTACCCATGCGTACAAATAATTGACGCTCATCATTATTCTTGTATCTTCCATGGTAGTTCGCAACAATGTGTCGGATACAATACCTATGTTGGAAAAAGGGTGGTTGCCACATTGGACCCAAAGACTTCATTATTGCTTTGATCTAAGCTCCACGATCTGAAATGACACATATTTTTTCTTTCGTGATAACATGTGAACGTAAGTTTCGGAGGAAAAATGCCCAAGAATTTGTATCTTTTCCTTCAACAAGAGAAAAAACAACTGGAAGAATTTTACGATTACCATATTGGACAACTATCAATGGTAAAACTTGCTTGTATTTTCCATATAAGAAAGTCCTGTCGATCTGGATTACAGGCTTACAGTATTTGACAGCATTAACGCACTGTGGGTAAGTCCAAAAAACCCTGTAGAATTGCATAGATCACGAAGAACTCGATCATTATGGTATGCATGAGAGGTTTTGAAGTCCAAAATTATCCCAGGATTCAACCTTCATATCAACCTAAACCAACTTGGAAGTTCATTGTAAGATGCATCTCATTCGTCATGAAGTTTGACAATGGCATTTTGTTTTGCCAACCAAACTTTTTTATAGGAGACAGTGTACTCATATTGTGATTGTATAGCAGAAATAAACTCTGCAATAGCTATATGAGAGCTTGCTTTTACCATGGGCATGATGGCTTGGTAGATCACTTCAGAGTCTAAGTTGGGATGATCTTGGTTGATCCCTCCAGCAAAACATGTGTGAGGATCGTTGTATATCGTTAGTTCCCATCTATTGTTTTTCCTCTTCCTCTTTGATACGCGAACCATCCAATT